GAGCATGGACTTTGTTGCTTCTGTAAATATGCAGTTATATTAATTATTACATTTATCTTTAATCTAGTAAAACGAGTTCAGAGCATTTTTGATGAGGTTGCCCCCTCTTGGTTGTTCAATGGTGTGAGAAGTCTTTCCTCAAACTAAACATTGATAAGATGAAAGATACGATCATTGATTTTAGGAGGAAACCTCACAAGCACAAATTCACTTTAATCAAAGGTCAAGCCATTGAGAGAGTGCAGTCTTACAAATATCTTGGGACAATCATAGATGAATTAAATTTTGATACCAATTTTGACAAGGTGTGTAAGAAGGCACACCATGTTTTGTCGAGCTTTCATTGAATCAGTTTGATCCTTTTCCTTGATGTCATGGTTTGATCAAGCAACACTGAAAGAAAAGAGCTGCCTTCAGCAGATTGTTCGGCTGTCGTCTAAACCAAATCTACCCTTGGGTATAAATAAAGTCGCCTAACCCTCTAAACAAACAAGTGGGTGGACAGTTCAAGTTCAAGTATCTTTATGTCATTCACATCACATGTGGTACATGAGATGGAATGAAATTGTGTATTCAAGGTCCAATTACACCCAAAAACAGCAAAAATATAAAGTATACAAAGACACAGTATATAAGGATCTAAGATATACACTAAACACTAATAATGTAAAATAATAGGGTATATTAAACAGCAGCCTGAACATGAGTCTGTATTGAGCAGATGGGTATAAATGAATACAGCATATCAGCAGCATGGATAATCAGCAGCACAGACAACTCACATATTGCCAATTAAAGTGACATTCCAGTGATTTTTTTTTCACAGTGATTATTCTGATTAGGGATTCATGAGTTTAACAGTTTCAGGGTAGAAGCTGTTCCTCAGTCTAGTGTTTCAACATCAGCTGACCATGTGGGCAGCAGCTGATAGACACCAGAACCATCGCTTTGACCTAAACTGGGACGATTCTGCAGCATCTTTTAAACTGAGAAGAGAAGAACTCTGACTGCTGCTCATCATGATGTTTTTGTCTTCAGAGCCAGGAGGGTCAACTTACGGAAGAGTTCATTTTGATTCCAGAGCTGCTCAGGGAGTCTGATCTGAACTGACAGGAGGGAAACGCTTCATGTTGTTAGAAGTTTAGATTACAGTAGTCCCTCGTTTATCGCGGAAGGTTCCGTATCCCCCTCCCTGTGATAAGTGAAAAACCGTGAAGCAGGGATCAGTAGTCCAAGTCCAAGTTCAGTCCAAGTTCAGTAAACTTTGTGTGCCAGGCTGCAATCACTCATCACCTGTTACTCCCAATCTCCCTCCTTAAATAAACACTTAAAATTTAAATTCTGTAACATTTTAAATAAACAATCCATGCAGCATGGATTGTTAATTTAAAATGTTACAGAATTTAAATTGTAGAGAAGAGAAGTGCAGCAGGAGATCTTAACCATTCACACAGCTTCAGCTCTGCAGAAATGTACTTTTTGATCAGTTACACTTCAACAACTGAACATAGAAGTTCTAAAATAATTAAAAATAACTTTTAACGCTTTTATATTTTGTGATTATAACGATTTTACCGATATGACATACTTTGAATTTTAAGTTGGCAGACAAAAGTCGATGGTTCATCTGGACAGCAAAGGGTTAACCCTTCACAAAGCTGATTCAGCACGGAGGAGTAATACAGGAGGGAGCTTCCTCCTTTACTTGTGGGGTGCACACAGGTGCTAAATAATTTAAAAGTATTTATTTTAAATAAACAATCCATGACTCATTGTTGTGTTGTGCTGCTGAAACTGAAGTGAATGGTTATTGCATAGAAAGGGTACCAGAGTGCTCCGGTTTCCTCCCACAGACCAAAAACATGCATGTTAGGCTGATTGGTAACTCTAAATTGTCTCTAGGTGTGAATGAGAGAGTGAATGGTTGTTTGTCTCGTTTGTCTTTATGTGTCCCTGTGATGGACTTGCGACCCGTCCAGGGTGTACCCCGCCCCTCGCACAGTGATTGCTGGACATGGGCACCAGCGACCCCCGTGACCCAAAATGGAATAAGCGGGTAAAAGATAATGGATGGATGGATGGGTACCAGAGTGCACTATAAGACTGCATGTTAAAAGATACTGTATACTATGCAGGGAGACGAGAGAAACGAAAGAGAAAAGTAAACAAAGAACTGAAGATGATTCACGTGTCTGCCACCGGCCAAAAGGATGGCCCAGCACAGAAGATCAACATCATCAGGCCAGGACTCTGTGGTCTACACTCATCTCCAGGCCAGCGGTCACTCTTTCAGGGATGAAGATGTTCACATCCTGGACAGAGAGGAACCATGGTTTGAGAGAGGAGTAAAGGAGGCCATCTTTGTGAAAAGAAACCGTCCATCATTAAACAGGGGTGGAGGCCTCCGGGTTCAACTGTCCCCCTCTTACAATGCTGTGATTGCTAGTATCACTCAGCCCTCTGTGAATAGTAAACAGCCATCAGTGTGCTAATGATCCATTGTTAGGCTGATGGTCCTTCTTGAGCATGTGATCAGCTGGTTTTGGTTGTCAGCAGCAAAACTGGTTGATCCACTCTGAGAAGGTGCTATTTAAGAGACTGAGCTGAATACAGCACCTCAGACTGAGGAAGTCTCTCAGATGAAAGACGAAACGCTTGTACATTTTTTGTTGTTGTTTTGCTTTGTTTTGTTTTTTGAATGTCCAGAGGACCAGATTTAACTTTTTTAATGTTTCAGAGGAGCTCAAATATCTCCAAGATAAGGGCATCATTGAACATATTGATGCTTCTCCTTGGGTTTCTCCCATAGTCATGACACAGAGGAGAGATGGTGGAAAGCCATGCATGTGTAAATGTACTGTACTTATATAGCACCTTTCTATCTGATCAAGACAATCAAAGTACTTTACACTACAATTTGTGTCCTCATTTACCCGTTCACACAGCACTTTACTAGATCTCTACAAAGCTAATTGAACAAATCATTCTAAAGAGACTAATCAGAGCTTTAGATCACATTCATACACTGATGGGACACACATCGGAGGCAATGAGGGGTTCAGTGTCTTGCCCAGGGACACTTCGGCATGTGACTGCTGGTGGATTCTAACCCCAAACTTAACATGCACAAATGCAGGCTCAATCAACCTTCACTCAACTACCTGGGTCACACCATTTCAAAAGTAGGTCTTCAACCAGACCAGGACAGAGTCCCTGCTGTGATCCATGCTTCAGTTCCACACAACATGTCTTCTCTGAGATCTTTCCTTAGACTTGCTTCTTGGTACAGTAAGTTCATTCCAGATTTTGCGACTGTTACTGAACCACTACATGCAGTGCTCAGAGACTCCACGGACTTAAACTTCAAGTGGACAGTGGAAGCAGAATCTAGCTTTACTACGCTTAAATAACTGATAATCAATAGTCCTGCATTAGTCAAGTCAACTTTATTTATAGAGCACATTTAAAACAGAAACTGTTATCAAAGTTCTTAACAACATCAATGGGAGTAAAATTAATGAAAAAATACCATACACTAATAATAATACAGAGGAATTAATAAAAAGCTTTTAAAACATAGGATCACAGAACAAAACAAAAAACACTAAATCAACTCACACTGTGTAAAATGCCTGAGAGAACAGATGTGTTTTTAGCAGAGATTTGAACTTAGGAGCCTGATGTTGGGGGGCAGGTTGTTCCAGAGTTTGGGGCCCATGACTGAAAAAGCCCGATCTCCTCTGAGCTTCAGTCTTGTTTTTGGAACAGCCAAAAGCAGCTGATCGGATGATCCCAGAGCCTGAGAGGGAACGTATGGTTCCAGAAGCTCAGAGAGGTAAAGGGGTGCGAGGCCATTTAGGCATTTGAAGGTCAACAGAAGAATTTTAAAGACTATCCTCGTACAAACAGGGAGCCAGTGAAGGGAGGACAGAACTGGTGTAATATGTTCAGACCTACGAGTTCCAGTTATAAGCTGAGCAGCAGCATTCTGGACTAGCTGAAGACGTTAGATGGAGGCCTGGCTGACCCCAGCATACAGTGCATTGCAATAGTCCAATCGGGTCGTGACAAAGGCGTGGACTAGTTTCTCAAGGTCGAGTCTGGACAACACTGGCTTGAGCTTAGCTACCTGTCCGAGTTGGAAGAAGCTTTTCTGCAGAACAGAGTTGATTTGTTTGTCAAACTTGAAGTCAGAGTCTAAAACCATCCAGAGGTTTTTACCAGATTTCTTCAGATATGGCTGAAGAGAGTCCAGGTTGACAGGATCAGAGGTGGCAGTTGAGCTAGGGCTAAAAACAATGACTTCAGTTTTGTCATTGTTAAAACTTAAGAAATTTGAAGCCGTCCAGGCCTTAATGTCATCCAGACATTTTAACAGAGGGTGAATGGAGCAAACACTTTCTGGTTTTAGCTCTGTGTGATCCTGAGTTGCCAACTTATGTTAATACTGATGCTTCTGATTATGGACTGCACGCAGGGCCAGATTAACACTTCGCTGTACCCTGGGCAACAATCTTCAAGGGCCCCATCATCACGACCCCAGAATCACCATAATCTGTCAAAATACAGAATAAATTACCATAATATACAGTAAATATACTTAAAATTCTAACTGTCAAGTGTATTTT